ACTGAATACGGTTCTCACACGGGTTAGAAACCGCAGGGTCAAGTCCAAATCCACAGGTAAGGTGACTGCTGAGTGTTAAGGGAACTTGGGGGGCTAGTGTCGAAGCTGCAGGAAGGGGGGCCGGCTGGGTGTGGTTCACAGGCACCGAGGGTCACTTCAGTGGGGGGCACATCGCCGGGGCCGCAGGCAGGTCACAGCTGGGAGGCTGCTGATCCAGGAGCCAGGGAAGGGGCCGTGGACACAGCAGGCCTCGCTCTCGCAGCCTGCCTCTCGGGAGCTGAGAACCCGGGGAAACTCCTGCCTGTTCTGGGATGAGGCTGACGATACATGCGGCCAGACAAGCTCTCCACACGGGGATTCTCAGGCACAATGTTAAAGCCAGAATCTCTCCAGAGAAGGCAGGTTCAGGGTCATTCACAACCTCTAGGTGACACGGCCGATTATCGAAGGGCTTACCTCGTGTCAAACGTGTTCTCTGGCCACTGCCTCCGCTGAACGGAGTGGGATGCGTAGGACAGTGCGAGGCTGGGTGCTCGCCTGGCCTCCATGCAGGGCGGCCATCCCATGGCGGCCTCTTGGTGGGTGGGCCCTGTGGCTGGCGGGGCACAGAGAGAGAGGACAGCTAACAGGAACACAGAGACCCTAACCGAGGGAGAAAGGCACCCGGACCCCGAAACAGTTATCAGACGGCAGCCCACAGTGCATGTGGCCCGGTGCCTGCCCTTCTGTACGTCCGACACGTCACAGAAACTGCTCTCTCAGGAGCTCCCTAAACCCATGTGACCCTGTCCCCTCCTCGGCCAGGTGTCAGCGGTAACAGAAGAATGACGTGGAGAGTGAGTGTGACCCTGGGCCGAGTGGAGGAATCACCTTCCAGGACAGACGCCCACACACATCGTGCAAATGGAGAGGCCAGGAAAGTGACAGGCCACCCGCCAGAGGACCTCCTTGAAATCTGGGGCAGGAGAGACAGCTGACACCCCAGATCAGTCCCTGAGGCACCCCGACTCCTCCCGAGGGCAGGTTGTTAGGATGGTAACAAGTCAGAGCGGATGAACCCATGTGGACTTTGGAATAGCTGGATTTTATACTTCTTCGGTGCCCTGGCTGGGCACAGAGTCCCTGGGCTCGGTGGTGCCCTCCGGAGGGTCGGGCTGCCCCGGGCTGGAGGCCGTGTCTTCCACGCTCAGGAGGCTGCTGGCTGCCCGGGAGCTGGCGCTGTCGGCACTCCCCGACCGGGAGCGGTAAGGTGGCAGGTCGGCCTGGTTCAGTGACTCGGTGTCGGAAGAGTAGGGTGGCGGAGGGAGGTCATACCACGCGGGTCTGCAGCGGAGAAGGCAGGGTGGGGCGGGGGAGGCAGGGGAGAGGAGAAGAGAGAGAAGCATTAGGAGGAGCCAGGGCAGGGCTGACTTCTGCCCGTTTCTGAGCGGATGCTGATGTGAGGGAGGAGGCTGGCCCTCCAAGCAGAGAGGCCGTCCAAGGGGGTGTGTAATAAGACGGAATGGAGCAGGTCAGTGCGCTCCGGCTGGCTTGTGCCAACTGGGCTGGGCCTGCTCACACTCTCTGGTGGAGCCAGAGAGAGGATGCCAGGTGATTTGGGAGAGCGGCTTTGCTCCATCAGCGGGGGTCCCGTGGCCTGGTGTTTGATGGAGCCTCTGATGAGCCTCAGAATTCGGGTTCTTACTGAAGCCGACCTGCTGTGCGGACTTGGGTAAGTGAGAGGACATCTTCCCAACACCTCCGTCTCTGTAGAAGGGACGATAACGGCATCTTGCTCCCAGAGAAATAAGAGGAAAGACACTTGGCTTTCCAGCTCTCACTGAGAGCTCACTGTGAGTGGGGCCTATGCCACGTACCTCATGCTCATTCCTTTAGGAAGGATCACAAGAACGAAGGGGTAGGTGTTACTTTATGCCCCAGTCCCAGGGAGGAAACTGAGGTGGGGGCACTGAACGGCTTGCAGAGGATCACCAATAACTTGTAAGCGCAGGGCTGGGATCTGGGCCCAGGCGCTGTCTCCGTTTCAGTGATGCTAACCTTACTCTACCCTGGAAGGTCGGATGCAGGGGCTATGGGGGGTGAGTGACATCCTGAACACTTATGCTTACTTTCCAAGAAATCCACAAGTACTGCCCCCTGAAGCTACCTTTTATGAGGAGGGAAAAATAGATTAAATAATACAAGAGCTGCCAGTGAAGAGGACCCCATCACCCCAGAAATAGGGGGTGCAAAATGCTCATGCCACACGGTGCGTGTGGACAGAGAGAAAGGGGGACGCTGAGCAGAGCTCGGCAGGGGGGCATGGCAACTTCAGAACCCAGGGGACCCTGGGAGCTCTGTCCAGGGACTTCCAGAACGGCGATTTGGGACACCCTGGAGGTCCCCAAAGGAGGGAGGGAGGCAGGCTGGGCAGGCAGGACTCACTGACATCAACCGCAGAGCTCTGCTTTCTGACCTCAATACTGACTCCTGAGGGTTCCACTGCTTAACACAGCTGGAGGGTGCTGCTCCACCCCCTTTATTCTACACACACAGCCCAGCCAAGTCAAGGGACTTAGTAATTCACTCCCTCCCTCCTTCATTCATTCATTCCTCCCGCAAGTATTAACCAAGCCTCTAACGGGCACTGTTCTGCAGTAGCAGGGAGACCCAGAGTATGAAAGCCGGCCAGCGGCCTGAAGGTGTCAGTGTGGCATCCCCGAGTCGGCCAGGATCCTAACAGTATGTCCTTAACAAGTGTCTGAAGTCCAAGAGCCTCAGCTTCCTCACTTGTGAAATCGAGGCGGACACAGAGCCACCCCCAGCGAGTCCCTGAGAGGATTAACTGAGATGACACATGTGAACTGTCGGGCAAGGACTCAGTAGATGTCAGACACTGCTGTGCCTACAGCACCTGAATACAGGTTCTTGGCAAGACCAGGAACCAGGCTGCCACCATTCTGCTCCCCCATCCATCGAATGAGCTCCCTGCCCCACCCCCCGCCCTGGACCCCCACCCCGTCTCCTCCAGCCAGCACGCACCTCTGGTCCAGCAGGGCCTCCGAGTAGGAGGGCGGGGAGCCCACTTCCGAGGCGTTCTGCTCGGCCTGGCTGGCCACGTACTGGATGCCGTTGTTGACGTTGTAGGTGACGTTGCAGTGGTGCGGGTGGTCGAGCACCACGAGGCGGGACAGCAGCACGGGGTGCTGCAGCCGGTGCACCGGCAGCGTCATGAGGTTGTTCCGCTTGCGCTGGTGGTGCAGGACGAGCGCCAGCAGGGCCACCACCAGCACGAAGATGACGGAGCTGCCGATGATGGCGTAGGTGATGCTGGGGTAGTACACCAGCTGGTTCTCCGACGTCACAAACACCTGCCCGCTGCCTGGTTCTGAGAAAGCCCCGAGGGGAGAGAGAAGGAGGAGGTTACCGATTCAGCTCACCCCTCCCGTTGCAGTCGGTCCCAGGACCTGCGTGCAAATGTTTGTAGCAGCACGACTGACAACAGCCATGAAGTGGAAACCGCCGACATGTCTATCGACCGGCAAATGGATGAACAGAATGTGGTATGGCCACACAATGGAATGTTACTCAGCCAGAAAAAGGAACGAAGAACCGACACATGTTACAACATGGACGAACCTCAAAAACATTATGCGAAGCAAAATAAGCCAGGCACAAGACCACAGGTTGTATAATTCCATTTACATGAAGCGTCCAGGAAAGGCAAATTTATAGACAGAAAGTAGAATGGTTGCCTGGGGAGCCCAGGAGCCG